TGTAATTATGCCCAAATGTATGATGACACATGCACATACAATCCTGCAAATAAATAATTCAAATTTTGAGGCATACAGCAATGTGATAAATGTAAAGGGTTGTAATACAGTGGGTGTGATGCTGACTAACTTGAAATTCATTTTCTTACAAGTTCCTCAAAAGATTTTGATATGACCAAAAGACATGGCCACCATCAGCCAGCGGAAATATATATTATATTGGCCGATGTTGGTTTATCAGAGATATTGGTGTCAGATTATATGTCAGCGGATAAAGAACGAGAAACTGCAGTGAAGAAACGCCACTTAGTAGCTGTACTGGACCTCATAACACATGATCATACTCAGCAGATGGGGCTTCCTACTTGTCATGGAAATATTCAGTTTCAGTATCATACTCTGATTTTCCATATTGGTATCTGCCTCACTGTATCAGTTGAGCTCTAATGTTGACACAGTTCCAGATTCAGAAACACATTAGAAAGGAGAAGTATTCTCATATGAAAATAAATCAATTTACAGGATTGTTCAGCCTTGGCAGAGGTATGCATCCTCTTATGCGGCGTTTACTGCTGTGTTTCAGTGGATTCCAAAGAGATCAATCTCTCAGTGTGTCAATCACACAATGTGGGCAGCACTGTGACATCATCCTTGGATTTTTTTATTTGGATGAAGTTTTGAGTTTCTGTAGGTGGTTTTTCTTGCCCAAACACAGTGGTTGCTGCTGCTGCTCAAGCTAACTACTGTGTTCTTCCTTTTTTGTTTATTTCACACGAAATGGAAAAGAAAAAAGACATCACTGTTTGTGCACCAGAGCATTTAATTATAGAAGTGTTTGGTACAGCACCTGTAAAAGCTAGCTCTCATGCCATTCAGATAGAAAGGCGCAAATACAGTGGTCATTACGTTTCTATGTCTTAATGACAACACGGCTGTTAATGGTGAAAGAATGTTAGTGATGACGATGCTTTGAAATTGCACTGTACAGTATGTGAGTATCCATTGTTGCTCCTTCTTTCTCTGCCTCTCTCACTCTCCCTGCCGCCTCCACAGTGATGCGTGTTGCATTAACGCTGAGGTGAAGAGTGGGAGGTAGAGGGCAAACTGAGAGGGCTACAAGAGGGATGGAGAGAGAGCCAGAGAAGAAAAAGAGTGTGTGGGAGACTGAAACATAGATATGTGGGATAGATAGATAGATAGATAGATTAGATAGATTAGATAGATAGATTAGATAATAGATTAGATAGATAGATAGATAGACGTAGATAGATAGATAGACTAGATTAGACTAGATAGATAGATAGATAGATAGATAGATAGATAGATAGATAGATAGATAGATAGATAGATATGTCCTTCCTTCATTCCTCTTCTCCTTTGTTACCTCATTTCTAAAATGTCTAACGGTAATGATTTCCCAAGGGTAACCCACTCAGGTCAAACTAAATCTAGAAGGGAATGAGAGAAGGGGGGAGAGAGAAAGATAGAACGATAGCAGTACCAAGAGATGACAAGTGAGAGATGAGAAAGAGAGATAGAGATGAGATGGAGGAAGAGAGAAAAGAGAAGCAGCTGGAGAGGAGAAGTTGGTCTCTTTGCAGCTCCAAAGCTCTTAAAGCCCCGAAGCTGTGTGGAGTGTAAATGGGAGGGAGATAGAGAGAGAGAGAGGAAGGGAAGGATAGAGCGAGAGGTAGAGGGAGGTTGAATTGAGAAGAAGAAAAGCTAGAAGGGAGAGGAGGAGGAGGAGGGTTTGCGTTGGTGTGTTGGTTGGCAGAGAGAGCGCTTGTCAAAAAAACCTTCCTCTGACAGAAGGCATGATTCACAGCAGAGAGAGAGGGAGAGGGGAGAGAGAAAGGGGGAGAGAGAGGGAGACAAGCAACAGAAAAAGAGAAAAACGGCAGAGATAAAGAGAAAGAGGGAGAGAAAACGACGGGGCAGAGATGCCGGTAAGAAAAACAATTGAGGATGCTGATTTGAGGCAGAATGACAAGACATCACCAGGATGGGACTGAGATCGACGGGCTGGATTGACTGATGCCTTTTAATGACTGTGACCATGTTGATAAGGTTCTGGCTTTTCTATTGATCGGGAGAAAATAGAGCAGGTGGCAGCAGCAGTGATGAAAGAGAGAAGGAGAGAGGAAGAGGGGATGTTTAAGAATGAAGGCACACTGAACATGAGACTAGGAATGGTTTCTCAACTATCAATAGGCTCCTTTGATGGAGCTTATTTAATTTGTGAGGATGGCATCACTAATACATGCAAATTAGACAGTTCTGACTCCTTAATATTACATTTGAGATGGATATTATTATGAATACTTCAGGACTACAGTGTGGGAAGCTTTCGAAAGATGTTTTTGCATGTTAATATGATCTTTTCTTTACGTGAGAAAAAGAAGTCTAAATGGAGTTGTCAAATCAGTAAATCATTATTAATTTATCTTTTAACTTTTTTCCCTTCTGAACTGGTTCAATTGTGGCGAAAGTCGGTTGCGTCTTCCAGATCTCTCAGTATGTGTGGTGGATGCCCTGCTTCTGTGGTCATCTGTGGTCAAAATTAGTTTAAAATGCCTTTTTCTTGTGATGTTGTTGACTTCCTGTAAGCTAACATTTAGAGCTTAGCTTCATGTTGTCTTCCACAAAGCTGGTGTTAGCGGACTAGCTACTGTAGATGAATGAGTTTTTGTACATTCCAAAGCAGGAACATCAACATCAAACCAAATCTTCACAATTTCACACCATGGCATGTTATAAGATTCAGCTGCTGATTTCTCATATTGATGGAGAAAACAGCTTTGAATGAATATTGACGTCATCTTGACTTTATTTTTGGCACCAAATTTGCATGGGGGTTAAAGGCTGCTTGATGCAGGCTGTTGCATTAACATCTCTCCAACTTCAAAATGCTTTTCGGAGTTGTTTGAGGTTTTTATCTTTCGTTGTCTTGGCTACGAACAGCTTTTTAACCCTTTAGATTTAAAAGTTTTAGATACAACTTCCACAAAATCGACCAAAGCTAACAAGGGCTTCAGTTTTTACCTTGGTGTTAAATCCTGAGGAGAAAGTGTTCTACATAGAGTAAATTTTAAGTTTTTACCCTTTGTTGCATTGGCTGCTGTTTTTCACCATTTAGGTTGGTAAGACTGTTGGTATATGTTCTAATATGTAACCCATAACTAGGGCTTCAGCTTGTTTAGCTCAGCCCAGGGAGAAAAACATATCCACCTATGTCTACATAGAGTACAGTACAGTAAGTACAAGGTTTTTATCTTGAGTTTTGCCTTTTAAAGGGTTTTCCATCCTTTAGGTTATGAAAACTGTTAGTATGTTATATGTTCTGAGATATATAACCTCAACAAAATTAAACAAAGAGATTGGCCAACTGGGGTTACAGTATTTATCCCATTCATGGGAAAAAACATAAAGAACGTTGGAGGTTTTTACTTTTTGTTGTCGTGGATGTGAACAGTTTTCACAGGTTGGTAAATATATTGGTACCTTTTAAGTTATGAAGACCGCTGTATTTTCTAAGATGTAACCTTTATTAAATTAGCCAACTAGAGCTACAGTTCCTAGCTCAGCATGTCCTTGGGGAAAACCACAAAGGGTTTTGTATAGTACATTTGTACTGACTGTTTTGGAGTGATGGCCTCATTTCCCAATTACAGAAATTGAATACCTTTTGAGAAACTGGTAAAAAAACAAGGTTTAAAAGCAACAATTTTGAATGTCCATCTGGGTCTACCCTAATCCCAGCACAGGGCTTCTCTTCTCAGCACTAATGGTAACCCACTGATGGATGGAGGTCAATCGGTTGGTGCTGTTTGACCTGAGTGCATCATTTAACATAAGTGATTCTAATATTCTAATCAATAGACTGAGGAAATGGTTTGCTTCTTTTTAGACAGCTATGGGCTACTTTTCCTCTCAATTGTCTCTAAAGTGCATTGCAGGCACTGTTTTGAAATTAAAGAGGCACCCCAGCAATTTAGCATGCACTTTCATTAGGTTGTGGGAGTCAGAAGAGACAGATTAAAGAAAGAATGATCAAAATAGAAGCGGCGGAGGCCGTTATCCTGATTTTTACTGTTTTCACAGGTGTTGTGGTACTGGTTGTGACAAGTAAACTGAGCTTGTTTCAAATGGATGGAGTGCCCCTTTAATTGGACATGCAAGAATATCAATGGTTATTGATTAATATCTTAATACTGAATATGCTAATATCCACTCACTTTTATATTTATGGAGAGACTTTTTCAAGCTGTCTTTCATTCAAATCTTGTGTTGTTTGCTTTGTTTTTCACAGAAAGATGACAGTAATCAACAAACACAGCCGGAATGAGAGGAAAAGCTTTAACTGGATTCAGTCCTCCATCCACTGTGCTCAGTCTTTCTGTCGCTCTGTGTCTGACTGACTAACGCTCCACTGGATAACGACTTAATTGGCTCTGAACAGACAGCCAGAACAATAAACAAGCAGAATAAATACAAATGCAGTCATGCTGGGAAGAGAGTGGGAGAAAAGATGAGCAAAGAACTGTAACCTGTGGACATAAAAACTGGACATATTTTGTCTTAAATTTTCACGCTTTTCTTCAAAATCTGGTTGGAATATTTCTCAAAGAAGGATTCCATCTCCAAATTGCATGTGGACATTATGTTGTTTACATTGTTTTTATGTCATGGAGCTTTTGACACACAGATTTGTTTTTGCAACACTGCCATACTTTGATCACAAGATTGTTCTGACTTCTCATTAAAACAGAAGGAATATGCTTCAGTGTTTTACCAGAAAAGAATAATTTTTTTTGACAGTTTGACATTTCTCCATTTCTTTTATTTTGCCATGGCCCTGTCGAAGCCAGCTGCCATGCATCTTCCACATTCTGAAAGCAACATTTTTCAGAAGTAGTAAAATTAACGAATTCACAATTCGCTCTACAAGCTTCAAACGTGCCTCCCACCAACCCCTCCCACCATCAGCCATCCAACCAATCATGGGCAAGCCTCTTAGCCGTCCCGGGTGTTTCAGGAAGAGCTCCTGCTGCCTGGAGAAACATGGAGCTGGGGATGGGGGAGTGGGAGGCCGAGCTGGGGGAATGGAAGGAGGATACGGAGACGGCTACGTACCCCAACGGTCCATCTATGATACCATGTGCATCAATCAACAGATTGACAGCCATCACCATCACCCTGGAGGGTCCATAAGGCGAGACTGTGGAGGTGAGGGAAGTTTCAGCTACTCTGCAAGCGGTTCCCTGAGGGTTAGCAGGTCTCCAGCTGACATGTTTGATGCACAACCCCGCTCTTTAACTCCTAACCCCTCGTTTGTGCGGCGACTGGACGAAAGAGCGATCTATGATTCATTGAAGCTTGGGAGTCAGGATGCAGATGGTGGCGGATGCCATTCTCCAGGACGTTTCACCCGATCAGTTTCTCCCTCTGTGTCCTCGTTCTCAGCACCGGGAGTGTCCTCCTCCTCATCCAAGAAACACCACCATCACCACCACCATCACCATGGAGACAGCACAAAAAGCAGAGATGGCCGACATTCCTGGAAAGTCTTGACACCTCCAAAACACCTGGAGTGTCTGGAGCTTACTACAACTGAAATGATGGACAGAGGAGGCGGGTACCTGAACCCAGGGCACTACCCTCCTGGGGGCCAGTCCTCCTCTCTTACCTCCCCCCTCATTTCCCCCTTCTCTGGTTCACCTCTCTCTTCAGGTTACCATACTCCAGTTTTTTTCTCCCCTGCCAAACCTCGCCCCAGTCAGACTCAGAGTTTGCGCTGTTCCCCTCCCCAGATCATCCAGCCAAGGCATTACTCCCAAACCCAGAGCCTTAGGCTGTCACCACCACAGGAGCTTAGGCGATCCCCGTACCGTGCCCCGCTGGTCCAACTTTCTGCTCACGATCTCGAGCAGGACCTGAGGGATCGAGGAGGAGGATGGGGCCGAAGTGAGCGAGAAAGGGAGTGGGAGAGGGAGAGAGAAAGGGAGATGGAGAGAGGGTGGGCCCAGCGAGAGTGGGAAAGAGAGAGGGAAAGGGGGAGGCTGGAGAGGGAGAGGGCAAGAGAAAGGGAGAGGAGAGAAACCTCTTTTGGGACCTTCGGGTATGGTCGACCAGTTCCTCTTCGTTCAGACAGAGACTCTGTGTTTTTAGAGTCCGACCAGGTTCTAGACACAACGCCACTGTTGCACCCCCAGCCATCACCTTCACCCTCCCCCAGTGCTGCGCCCAGAATGGGCACCTGCGCTGTGGGTAGGAATAGAGCTGGGTCAAAGGTTGGCCCTGAAAGTGTAGGTGGGGTTATGGTTTCAAAGTTTGACAATGGAAGTGTGGGTTTGGTGTTAGTTGACAGTAAATCTGGGTGTGGGCCAAGGTTAGTAAGTGAAGTTCCATCTGGAAAGATGTCAGAGGCAGAAATCAGAGCTGGAATACAAGAACACCATAGAACTGAAAGTTGGAACAAATATGACAACGGATCCAGAGCTAGCATTAAAAATGGGTCTGAAACAAGAATGGGCACCCAGGTGAAAACAAGACCAGGGGGACGGGATTTGGAAGGAAAAGTGCAATCTGGGATGGAAAATATGGCTCCAGTTGTGAGCAAGGAGGGACACAGGGGAGGGTCAAGGAGTGGAGAAAAATCTGGAAGGGTTGTGGCTAAACCAGAACGTATTGCTGAGGCTATACCTTCAACTGTGACTGACACTGAGAATAAGGTTGAGACTGGAGATAAAGTTGAGATTGGAGCTGGATCTGGTCCGGGGATTAAGTCAGACATTGAAGCAGGGGTTGAATCTAAAACTAGTTCAAGGGAGGTGGAGAACAGGACTGGAACAGATGGAGGTGCAGCAAAAGTTAATAATAATGATGTTGGTTCAGCAACAGAGTCCAGAGTAGAAGCTAAAGTTGAGACAGAAGTTAAGATTGCTCCTACATCTGAGCCTGAAGCAGTACCAAAAACTAGGGTTAGTAATGAGACAGGGACTAAGAGTAACACTGAGACTGGAGTTGTCACTGAAAACCAGAACAACAGCAAGACAAAAGATGAAGCTCAGATAAGTGTTGTGGCTGGGGATAAAACGGCTACAGCCCCTGCAAAGCAGGCTGAAAAAAAGACTTTGGACATCGATAAAATAGAATCTACCCATGTAGAGAAAGGTTCCAGGTCTCATAAATCCAAATCATCCAAGTCCAGCTCCAGGACTCGACCTGGCACGGCCACAGGGCTCCAACCAGGCGTAGTCAGCCCTCGACTAAGCAGAGGGATTGGGGACCTTGAGTCAACAGGCCCCACTGAGGGCATTGAGTCCACCTGGCCTCGCCGAATCATGGTCAGAAAGAGGACTGTTCGGCAGGGTGGGGCACTCCACAACCTCCCTATTCTCCCCCCACTCCCCTCTGTCCTCTCAGCATTGGAGAAGAGGCGCCCACATGCCCACCTCCACCCCCGTCAAGGCTTCTCAGAGAACCCGCTAACAAATGTAATTAATGCCACAAGTATTGTGGGACGATGCTCACTTAAAGAGCCCTCCCAACCTGAACCAGGACAGGGGGCCAATTTGGTGGGCAGGGCTTCCCTGAAGGAGCAGAACTTGGAACACTGGAGGGTCTGCAGAGAACAGGAAGAACACAAGAGATCCAGGAGCAAGGAGAAACAAGGAGAGCACAGTAATGAGAAGACTGAGATGGAGGAGAGTAAGGGGAAGGAAGAGATTAGAGAAAAGGAGAGAAGAGAAGAGAAAGACAAAAGAGAGGAGAACGTGGGTAAGGAGAAAGAGAAAGTTAGTGAGGGGCTGGTGGAGGAAATCAAACAAGAAAAATCAAAGAGAAGGGTTGAAGGGAAAGTGCAAGAGGATGGTAACAAAAAAGATGTTATGAAAAAGGAAAAGCATGTAGAAATAAAGTGTGAAAAGGTAGAAGATAGAGGAATAAAGATTAAGGATGGAATACAAGAGCAGCATGGACAAGAGTTTGAGGAGGTGGTGGCTAAATTAAAGAAAGAAGATGGTGAGGTGGAGGGAGGAGACGGAGGGACATTTGGAGAGGAAGGGGGGATGGAGAGTTGGGATGCTGTCCTTGAGATGGTCACCACATTGTGGGACGACGGCTGGAAGCAAGGGGGAGCAGGAGGAGTGGGTGATACAGATTCCTTCTCAGGCTCCCTGCAACGTTGGCCTCTCCTCCGGCCCCCGATTGGCTTTGGGGGCTCCCACCCCCCCTCCTCAGCAGCCTCGGAGCTCAGCCTGACAGAGTTAGAAAGGAGAGCCAGGGAGCTTGACTCTGACCTGGAGCACCTAGACCTGTCTCAGCCCCATAGGGACACCCAGGATTTATACCAAACACTGCTGGAGCCACAGAGAGAACGGGCTGACATGTACCAAACACACCCTGGGCCGCAGAGGGAGAAAGCTGCTCTCATGACAGGTAGATGTTAGTTGGATTTTCTGCACGTTTGGTTTCATTCTTCCCATATTTTTTCATTCATTATCTTGCAATAATATACTGAATTTGGGGAATTTAATATTATGACAAAAGGGAACTAGACTAATTTTATTTAAAGGTCAGTTTATTTGTCATGGAGACTACTGCTTGAACTATGAAAACAGTTGTATAATTAAATTGTATAATTAGCTTCGTAAGAGCTTTGTCAAGCCCCTGATTATGTCATTCTGGTTATCCTGGCTTTGGCTTGGATACTTCAAATTTATAACAGAAAGCTTGCCTTACAAAACTGAAAGCATGTCCTGAGTAAAAAAATTGCTTTAAAGAAAATGTACAATCAAGGGTTTTTGGAGCTTGACCCATACTAGGGGCAAAAGGTCAGACTATCCTGGACTCTGCTCTATGATTAATTATTCATTATTATGAATTAATTATTCATATAAACTAATAGTAAAGTTCATGAAAATAGATTTTGACACACAGCCCCTCTACAAGACAAAGGCACAAAATCAGGTAACAATGCAGAAGCCAACTTATTTGAAGTGGTACAACATTCTACAATTTTTATTGGGGCTTTGGGTTTCCATAGAGGGGATGTGTGCCCAGTTATTACACAAAGAAATAGAAAAGCTGATAAATATCAACCATGACATTTATCTACAGAGAGAGTGGTTCCTCTACCACGGAGGCCACCATGTTGAACCACCATGTTTCTACAGTAGCCCAGAACGGACAAACCAAACTCTGGCTTTCGATAGGGCCCTTTTGTAGCCACCATAGTTTCTAAACAGTTTCCTGATTTCAGCAGTTACTCTATTGTGTGTGGCTGAGAGTTTGGCTGGGATGTCGGCCGTGAAGTATTTCATTTATACATGTACCAAAATAACAGGTGGTGAATTGGTGCCAGCAAAGTGCAACTGTTCATTGCTCTGAACTGATGTATTAATCAGTTGCCAGGAATAAACATTGTTTTCCAGTATTTTCTCCTCATCAGGACAGTGCTGTAACATGACTTGAGAAAGGAATAATGAGCCAAATAACAGAGGGCCTTTGACAGGATCACAAGAAGCTTTAATTTAATTTTAAATGTAATAAATATAGTATTCTGTTGCTGTTTTGTCCTTTAAAAAAGTGAGAACAAGTCATTCCCCAGGTGAGCTTGACTTTAGAACATGTCAAACCAGTCCAGTTTTTGTTTTGTCTCGCCTTTCCTATTTGCCTCAGGAGCCATGTCTTTCAAGATCAAATTTTATTTTTCAGTGCTTCTGTATCCTTGCACACACAGCACAATCTCACCATGCATCATTTTACACAGAGATCATAAAGGGAAAATATACAGTTCCTAAAGACACACAATAGCTACGATGTATAAATTCCATAATAATAAATAAGTGTATTAAAATACGTTTCAATAATACCTTGACTTTAGACTTTGACTTTTGATAGTTAAAAGATCACCTTAGCCATGAGATACTTTTTAGTCACGCCCAGGACTAAGACCAGTTTGGTCTTAGGTAATAAATACAGTAGTTCATATGATCAATACTCAAATGAGATATATCTGTAAAAGGTCTTTATGTATGTATGTGCTGAGATCACAAATTGTTTAGTGTGGTTTGTGAAACGGTACGAAACATGAAATATAACACAGTTCAACTGGCCAACTCATGTGCAGTGGATGTGAACGTAGAATATTGATATTCGGCATCCAGGCTCTAATCTTGTCACTCCACACAAGTAAACACCAAGCTCAGCATAGCAGGGAGTAGGGATGGGGGTGACTCTATAGATGGATGTCAGGGTGAAGGTGGGGGTTTTGAAATGCTTTATGAACAGTAGCAGCAGCAACAAAAATGTCATGTAATGTGTCTGAGGCATGGTGGGTGCTATTTGCTTGTCCTAAATCAGCTCTACCCATTTTCCACCATACTACCTTGGCTATGGTACTGCAACTGACAAAATTATCCTCTCAAAAAGACTATGTGTCACTTTTCTGATCCTGCAAAAAAGCATCAACTAGAAAAATGAAAACATTTTGAAACATCCACTATACAGTGGCAAACATTGATCCACTGGCTGTGATCAGATATCTAAAGGTTTGATCAGGAGGGGAGTGAATGCCGTAATGTATTGATTATATCTCCTGTTTCTCTAATTTAATTGTGTTAAATCTGTGCTCTGTTTTCCAGGAGTGGGGAGCAGATCCCAGGTCAGTTTGGAGCTCAGTGCTATGGCCTCCCCAACTACAGACACAGACAGACCTCCTGTTGACTGGTCAACCAAATCTACTGGGACATCCACTGTTGGCACAAGGTAGATCCATGAAAATTGGAATTAATATTGTCAGCACCGACTCTGAACTGTTCTCCGGCAGATGTTGACATCCTAGGTGACTGAAGGTTCACTGCACAGGGCACTGATCAAATCTGATAAAAGTTACCTTTAGAGGAGGTTATAAATGCACTGGGCCACAATGCCATTGGATTTTCATTTCAATTCAAAGCCATTATTTTGTAATATACATTGATATGTTCTTTTTGGGCCATTTAGCCAATGTATTACTTTTGTTGGGATATCTGGATATCTATATTTTTTTATTTTAAATGAACTCCTGTGGGTGCCAAAGTTACCATATTGACATCAATCATCTAAAACTTTATGTTTCTGACTATTTTGAAGCTGGTTTAAACAACAAAATATAATTTTTTGATGTGATCTTTTCATTTCTCATTTTCTTTTCTTTTTATATTTTTTGATATATACTCACAGAACAATGAAATATATCAGCACCCGATTTTGACTTGTGGTTGTGTAGCGTGCAGTGTGGTGTCAAGATTTCTCGCAGTTTAGAATTGATCGTGCTTGGATTCTACATGTAAGTAAATGCAGATTAAATGCTCAAAACTTCTTGAGGCTGAGCCATGAGTGATGACATTAAACAGAATGGTAGTGTCCCAACACTTAAGCCCTGTGGCACACCACATCTAATTAGTTAATCAAGTTCCTAAAGTCGTTTTCACAACTTGTTAATTTGCTCCAATCTTCAGAATGGAATTATTTATGAAATGGCTATTGTTTTAGTTTAGTCCGGCTGACTTCCCATTGCAACAATTCAAATGCAAATTTGTATCTCAAGTGATTTGTGTGTAGGGTGATTTGATTGGAGATTTTATTTCACATTCAAACATTTGTTTGAATGGACTACCAAATGCATTGTGTTGCTATTCATTTGTCATTATTATGAACATCTTATACTGGTAGAACAGCAGAGTGTCTGCCAATGGGATGAGAACAGGCACATTTAGTATATATGAGTAGAGAAAGACAAGACAAGAACTGAAGATTTGTTTTTTGTCTTCTGTTCATTGGCCATGAAAGGCACTAAAGGCCAAGAAAGGCTGTCTGCCATTGTAATTCCATTATATTTATAAACACGGCAAACTATTATTAGTGTACAGCAGCATTTCTGTCAGCATCAACTGGTTTGAGAATATGTGGACCATGTTGGCAAGGTGATATGGTTCCTTATTATAAACTTAATATATGTTTACCTAATTATCTTCATCTAATTGTCTAAATTTAACACCCCATAGGTGTTAATAATAGGTGTAATAGTTTTTATTAATATTTGTTGTCTGGACCATAATAAAATTCTGGACAATTATGAAAATGATAATGATTCATATGAAGCACACATGTCAGAATGAACTGTAGAAGTAAATTAATAGAATTAATTATTATTAATATACCAATCAACTCACCATGAATGTGTGTTGTTCCTGGCTAATAAATGAAGACAAATCATGCCATAGCCATAGCCAAATTAGAGCACAAATGTATTCATGATGTTGTGACTGTCACCCAAGGCAACAGTGCAAACACTCAAATTAGAGCCATACAAAATCTAAATGCTCTATGGGTAAAAGACAAAAACAAATAAATGGCCTTGATCTGAAAAAGTAGGTTATTAAAAATTTGATGGCATCTGTGGTAACCAATGCTAGAGAGAGAACATTCGAAGTCACCAGAATTTAGCAGACACATGGGGATGCAGCAGTAATTTGACTGTCTTGTCTTTTTTTCTAGCTACACTAAGGAGGACAGCTCTCCAGACTCAAACCTCACGCTGGAGTCCGACTCCAGTGGCGTCTTCCTCTCCTTATCCAATCAGAGCCAGGAAGAGGCCGGCTCTGACAGCGACCAGCCAATCAGTGGCTCCGACCTAGGCAGCAGCAGTACATCACTGGAGAAAGACGGGGACGATGGAGGGTTGAAGGAATGGGGTAGGGAGGAGAGTGCAGAGCTGCAGTGGTGCTACCCATCACTCCTCAACACCTCCATGCATGAAGACATAGAAGGAGATGGTGAGAGAGAGGAAGCAGGGTGTGGAAAAATGGGGGGAGATGAAGAGAGATGGAAAGATGATAATGGAAGGAGAGTTGGAAAAATAGGAACGGTTTCAATCATTAAGTCCCCACATGACCATGCAGATATTGAGGGCCCCATGACCCTAAATGCTCCACAAAGTGAAGAAATTCCACCTAGGAAAAAGGTGACCCTCATGGGAAGTGACTCCCCTCTTCCTCTGTCTCCCTCAAAACAACCAATCAAACACTTTCTAGATCCTATTCAGAAGCCAATCAGAAGCTCAGGACTAGACTGTGGCGACTTAGATCCTTTTGTCCAATCAGACAGCTTTGTTTACCTTGCTGTGTCTGCAAGACCTGCCTCCCAGGGTGAAGTCACCACAATGTCTGAAGTTCCCATCCACGATACAAAACAAGACAGTGTACAGCAACACTTGGACAGCATGAAAACACACTTGGGCCAGTCAAATACAGAACGGAACGCCAAGCCAACTCCCCTGGCCCCACAGAAACCAGAGGAAGGAGACTTTCTGTGCACTGACAGCTTTGTCTACCTGGCTGCTCCAGCATGCCTCTTACTGGGCCCTGCAGGAACCACACCCTACAGCGGCAGGTATGTGCATTTTTGTGTGTTCACTGTTGCTTAAGTGTATTTCATTGTTTGTAATTCAGTATAGGGATGAAACTTTTAACAGCATTTCAAAGTATTTTTGTTCATTTAGCTATAGATTCACCCATCCATCCATTTTCTGCTCCACTTATCCTGATCCTGGTTGCAGTGGCAGTTAGCTAAGTAAGGTAGCCCAGACATATTTCTCCATAGCCATGTCTTCCAGCTCTGCCTAAAGGATAACAAGAAAGTACCAGCCCAGATGTGATCCCTCCAGTGTGTTCTGGGTCTTCCACAGTGTCTCCTCCAAGTGGGACATGCCTAGAATACCTTCACAGGGCGGCTAATCCTAATCAAATTCCGAAAGTATCTCAACTCGCTCCTTTTGACACAATGGAGCAGCAGTTCAATTCCAGTTGCCTGCAGTTCAGGTGTCTTAGCTCCTATCTCAAAGAGTGACCTCTGCTTTGACAGTCTCTTTTGACAGCAATAACCCAAAGCTTATGACCATAGATAAGGGTTTGAAGATTACATCTCCCTTTTACAGCGTCCACATTACTGTTGATGCCATCCAGTTGAGTCCACTGTTGGCAAGGATTTCAGGCACATGGAACCCAAGTGGCCCAAGTTCAAAGCCTCCATTGCAAAGGCAGTGGCAGCCAGAAGGTTATTAGTTGGTGGACACCTTAGGAGGAGGTTGAAGCAAGGTTATGGCAAACTGTAAGACATCTCAGGAAGGGGAGGCAGAGCTTAGCCCAGGCTATTTTGAGCAGGGGAAGAGAACTCCTGACCAAGACTGAGGACCCTGTCAGAAGTTGGAAGGAACACTTGGAACTTGTAAACTCCTGAATCTGAATGCAGTGATTGCCAATTTACTGTTATGTCCTTCTGAACCATTTTTTGGAATTCCACTTCCATGCAAAGGCCTTCTTTGATTCATAACCGTCCCATTTCATCTAATTTCCATTACAAACTCATTATAGATTATTTTAAATGAAAGTGTGTTTTCCCCTTTCTCTGTGTTTAAAATTCAGCACTACTTATAATGTTTTGTCATTTACAATAACATACAAAATATGATGGCTTGCATCAGAGTTCACATTTCCGCAGCATTCTTGACAGCAGTGCTTTAACACCATTCAAATACATATGGTAATGAATATAATAGCGAAATATGTTGAAAAGATTGGTTATAAGCTGTAGAAGACTTTGGTCACTGCAATGCAATAATACAGTAGTACAATATTTTACTCAGATTCTGTCTGTTGTTTTTTTCCAGGGAGTCAGACTCGGAAAGTTCAGGATCTGGCCCTGTTGATCTGTCAGTGCTGGGTTGTGGCTCGGTGGCAGGGGACAGTGACTGGGACTCAGACCTGTCTGACTCCGATCCCAGTCGCTCTTCCAGATTCTCTGCTGCTGGCAACAAATGTGCCAGCGTAGCACGGCCCAAGCGACTGCCTGCTGAACTGGGCTGGGACTTGTTCGGAGAAACCACCGAGCCTGAAGTGCTGAGTGAGCTCTTCAGGGAACAGGACAAAAACAACAATGGCAAAGCAAGGAAGGTTACAGGGGTTACCACCAGCATGGCAGCAACACAGGCCATTCCCATGGCAACTCAGCCTGTCACTACGCCACTGAAGCGGGAGGCAACAGTAGAGCAGTCGTCAACATCGAAGAAGGTGACATGGCAGTTTAAACCAGCCCAGAGGTCAGTCTGCACAGGAAGCAGGAAGGAGAAAGACAAGGAAATGACATCATCATCATTGGCAAGGTTCACAGAACTGGAAGGCGAGACCCATAGGCCCTCCCCTTCATCTTCATCTTCTTCATCATCGTCACCATCGTCATCCTCTTCTGGTTGATATGTGAAGGATATTGTTTTTGTCCAACCATTTGGGAGAATCTGTCCTGAAACGGAGTTGGTTGCAGAAAGGTAGAAAAAATCTTCAACTCATTGTGTAGAAACTGATGGTGGGAACGACTCCAGCCTGTTTTTGCCTGTAAATTTTGAATCTTGCATCAAGCTGCTGCCATTGCCTTCTTATGACCTTCTAAAGGCTGCATAAAAGACTAGTTATTTGTTGCATTTTCTTAGAATAGCCTACACAATATCGTATATAATCAGTTTAAGTTTGAGAGAGTGTGAGACTCAGGCTAAACAGAGACCTTCAGGTTGAGATTATGTGGAAATACGGCCACTGATTAAACACTTAGGTACAGTAACATATGCACAGTGTCATTCTTAATGGGGTTTTGTTTTCAGCGGTCAAATTTTGAAACACAGGGTTGATTTATTAGTTACACAGTCACATTATTCTCGATCTAAATAATAAATAAGAATAGTTCTGTGGGTTTTTTATTCTATTGAATGTACTGTACAGAATACACACAACTACAAAATCCTTCCTAAAAGAGAATTCACATATCAGGCATTGTCAATTATTTGGCTTGGTCACCTCAAACATTACTAAAATGTTGGAATGTTGGAGTCACATGACACATAAAAGTGACCACAGTTGGAGATAAGAATTTGTGTTGAACTCCGACATTCTATTATTGTTTTATAAGGATCAAACAACGTTAATGTGTCTCAGGCCTTATATCAAATTACACTTATAATGCCTCACTTTAACGCCTACTCTTACTACTTCATATCTGTACTTTAAAAACTGACTTTTAAAAGCCGACTGAGGTCAAACTTTACAGTGTACAATGTATTTTATAATCACATCCAACTTTACAGTGTATTTAACAGTGTGTCAATAATATATTTTGAACATTGAGATAATTATAGAGCGAGATATATATATGTGATGAATGTGCAAACACGAATAAATAATGGCAGGATTTAGTAATATCATTTAATTTAAATGTGTTATTTATCAATTAGATTTGAAATTGTGAATGTAATAATTGAGCAATATGCTTACAAATTCATGCTATATTCTATGTTTCATATGTGGAAAGTGATGTGTATAATAATGGCTGAGTTTGATTTTATTTATACTGCCAAATACTAATTGTAAATGCAGTCTTACACTCATTCAGAGGTTCTATGTGTAACATTTTTAAACATCAAGTCATCATCAGGCAGCTTAGTATAATTGCCATAAACAATGGGACCATGGCTGAGATGATTGATAGCCTTTGTCACACTCTAGTGTTATTTTTAGTGCTAGTGTTTCTCAAAAGACTTCATCTCCCATAATCCCCCTTATGTACTGTCTCTCCTCATATCCACGGCATCTTTGGCTTTACTGGAGAGGATAAACATGTTGGAGGCCACCATTTGTCGCAGTGAGAACATTTGACAGATTTAGCTGAAAGTAAAGCAGTCCAGAAGATTTCCCTCCAAATCTAAGTTGGTAGCACACACTATGTAAAATTGCAGTGCGGAGGCTGGTAGAGCTGCCAGTCATCCCAGCAGTGGTCTTGTTGTTGAGTAATTATACTAATGCGTCAAAATGAACGTGGTAATCATTTGATGTTAAAAATGATACATGTAGCACCTTTAAATGAGAGCACAGTGCTATCAGAGTTGTTATCCTATTACAAATGTGACAAACGGAAGGTGTCAGGTTCACAGATTATTGTCAGTTACACAATAATTATTCTTGTTACAATTTGAGGTGGTTATGAAAGACTGTGTGGGAAATCATGGCCTGACAGGCATAACGCTTCCCAAGCAGGTTTGGTTGTACTATTTTACATTTGCACTTCAAATTGGGCAGTGAGAGGTAACTGTTTGAATTTTGACAACTTCTAGTGTGTGTGTTTGACAGTGAAGGTGATGGCAGTAGAGTTTGGAGGGTGAAATGTGGGGATGCTGTGGCCATATTTCTTGATTGATGTGGTAAGTTTATTTTAGATGAAAACTGTTGCCTTGTCACTGCCCTTACGATCAGTGAAACGCTCAGCCAGTTCTAACTCTTGATGATGATGCTCTGTGTAAACCGACAGGATTTGGTAGAGCTGAATGCAGCTGTCAGGTTCAGTGAGAGATTTATTTCTTTTGAGCTCAGATTTACAAGCACATCCACAGAGTAATTAAGTGCTTTGATAGCATATCTGTATTTGTAAAGCTGCAGGAATGTCAGAATGTTAATCAGGACTGAACTAATGAATAAGGTTTAAAATCACCACTGACCCTGGCAGCTTCTGATTTTATTACCCGTGTTAAAATGCATTGGATGTACATTCCTTGATATTGCAGTTTCAAAACATAAAAGTTAGGGGGCTGGAATAATGCTACCCCCAGGTTTTTTGTGTGTGTCAGTTTGTGGTAATTTGATTAGACAGAAATGCATGTGACACAATAAGGAGTGTTAGCCTTTGCAAAATCCATTACAATCATAGAATGTACAACTTGGAGTGTTGGGCAAATTACTTGAACTGTAATCAATTACTGATTACTCATTGAAAAAGTAATTACATTACTTTACTAATTACTCATTGAAAAAGTAATGCATTACATGACTTGCTTTTTTTTTCTGCCCAGCTCCATCAAAGGTGCCTTTAAACAACTCCAAATCCTCCACACTCTGCAACTTTTGTATTTATAAAATATAAAAGGGAGACATTGTGGTTTACAATTTGGAGGGATTTACTGACCATTCAGCAACTAGCTTAGATTAGCTTTGATGACTGCACACAGTACTCCATAAAGTCCTAAACTTACATTAACGTTAGCAAGCCATTTAAGAAAACACATGTAAATAAGACAAGAGTACCATTTCTGTTCTTTTAGCATGCATTAACTGCCTCTCCACATTTCAAGTCCCTGTGCCAAGCTAGCACGTCCTGGACCAGAGAGACCAAACTGACTGTTGCTGTCTGTTTAAGGTCTGTGTATCATTCGTTTACTCAATAGCCTATTTCATCTGAAATCTGAAAGTTTTTGAGGCCATCAAAAAAGGAAAATAATTTTTATTCTTTTGCGAAACAAAACAACAAATCTAATTTCAGTTTTTAGATTTTGTCAGATTTGTGGATTTCTGACCTTTCTTCCTTGTGTGTTTGTGCGGAACATGATTGCTGCCCTTACCTGGAAGGTCCTCGCAGGACAAAATAGTAGAATGTTATCATCATTTTAATGATTTCTCAGGAGATGTAGTGTTAATGACAGATATAGTAAAGGTTAATATCTGTCATCAAATTCAGCAGTGTTGACAGAGACGTCATAATCATATAGGAACCAGAAATATCCAGAGGCATAGGCTACAGAAGGCCAAGCACTGTAATGATAATGAGAGTACCTCAGCTTTAAAACATCACACAATCCACTGTGATGTCTGTTTGTAAAGTAGTGACATTTAGTTTTGAGTTTACTAACTGGCAATATTATTTTATTCTCAGAAGATTTCCTTTCTTAAATAATCCCCATACACACAACTATACTTTGTGTAATTTCCATAATCCCTTTTAGTGTGGATCTGTATGTGATCATAATGCTTCCCCCTCCTCAGTCAATTAAGGGAGCAAGAGCAGTATTGTCTCCTCTTATACGCATCACAGGATAACTGTCTAAACTCCCACGCTTAAAAGCATAGCGATGAGGACACAAACTGATTTCACCGGTGGGGTTTAATGTAGAAAACCTTGCACACCGCAGAAAACACTATCTATGTTCACTTGGTCACAACAGGCTACAGTCTCCACCTGTCAGCACTGATGAACCTGGTTATTATCTCTGATTGACAGTATTTTTCATATGTTTAAAAATTGTTTTACTACTTTTACTTTTCTGCGTGCTCCTGCGAGGTAAGTGCATGCTGCAGATAGGGATAGGACAATATGAACATTTCCTGTCACAATTATCTTGGCTAAAATAATTACAATACACGATATTATCACGATAATCATGAAAATATACTTAATACTTTTAAAATAGCACTAAGTCATACTGGAATCACTTTACCTTACATTTTGTTAAGACACATTGATTTATTGTATTACAGACACATCTCCCTGTTCTTTATTTAGGAATCTATACTTTTTCCATGGTTTTCTACAGTTTAACCTTTTTTTGTGAGGATACAACTGGCAAGCTGAGCCTTCAGCCATGGTGACAGGATTAGGATTTTGGAATGACCGGAAAGATGCAGGCTCCCTTTTGTCCCCTTGTTCATAATAATTCAGGAAATCAGTGTAGGACTTTATGCTGGAGAGCTACACAGCTTTTTATATTCATGATTATCACAATACATTTATGTGTTTTTGTAATTGTTTTTTATTGCAATACGCAGTGATATCGTATATCGTCCCATCTCTAGCTGCAGATTAGGCTGCACGTTTAAACAGCAGAGAAACAAAAGTAACAGAGAAATTTAAATAAGACTTTTGCATTTGGAAGACGAAAACAAGAAAACTGAATGAACAGATGATACACATACCGTATACCTAGACAGTACCTACGGAAGCACATTTAGAATGGCAACAAACACCTATGTGTCCACTTATATTGTCCAGTTACTAATAGTTAATCCACACCTGTCCAATCAGAATTTAAAATATTGAGCAGCCATGTTGCAAACTAAAATAATACAGTTTAAACTAGATTTGGGGTCACATAATAAGTTCATTAAGCAGGATTTGGCTTTGATGTTTAACTTTAGTCTTGCCAATAAATCTGTAATTAATCAAATTACCAAAAACCTTTTACATGAATTGAACCTGGGACTTTTGGGGGCCTGGGTCCTGTTCTAGTTTTGTTAATAATCCAGCCTTGCATTTTGGGATCTGTTAGTGCAATAATAAAATCAGAAAGTGAATCTTTTACAAAACAACAGAATTAGCACTTATTTGGAAGTGGCCAAGCTCACATAGTTTGGACACATTCCACCCACATTTCACATATGAGCAATATAAAGAGCGAAGCGGATGTATGTGTTATGAGAGACATATTTGTCACTGATGCAATCTCCTCCTTTTTATTCTATATGAAAGACTGCATTGGAACATGGCTGTAGATCAAGTTTAGGAGAGCAAGTTTCCCCCCGCAGCTCCACAGTGGGGCTCCAGGCCGTGTCTTGGTGATTCTCTGCCAGCTCTGGCATCTTGAAGTGATCATGCGTTGAGAGCTGTGCTGCTTGTTTGAAGCTGACTGTTTCTTGTTGTAGAAATGGAACAGGGCTGTGTGCATTTATAAAACTACCGGGACAAATTGTCTGATGGTTCACACTGCCTATTACGTCACACCGACTCCACGCTCTGGCTGAGGTCTCATTCTAAAAAGGCTGTTTACATGACACTGTTCATTAACCTGTGTAATCTGTGTGGGCTTTTCTTTAATATATTAGACAATTGGCACGATGATGTGTAGCACTTGAAAACCTGCTTTCTATTGGAATAATGATGTATTTTCTAACCCTGCTGCTGTACATGTTTGCTGGAAGGAACTGAACTTCAAAGCTCAAAAATTGGACCAAATGAGAGGATAAGCCAGATAGTTGTATGTACTATTTTTATCAATGAAATAATCTTTGATTTTCGCTCGCGTTAAACTGTGGCAAGACATCTAGTTTCACTGTGATATATTAAGGATAAATTACTTTACGCATCCTTCACTGACTTATGTAAAATCCAGTAATATCAGGCCATACACGTAATACTTTACTGTTCATGTAAATGCTGATCACTGTTCAAGCTTAGTGGTGATTAAGAACTAAGACCTGAGAGGAATTCTTAGTGGAAAAATCTGATTTATGTGAAATCTTATAATGTGCTGTATTCTCAAGCCTTGTTGAAATGCATTAATGTACAAATAAAGACTAAACTTGATGGTGTATGGTGACTCTCTTTGGCCTGTTTGGTGTCTGTCTCAGCTGTCTTAATCCTGTTCTACACTGGGCAGGGAAGTAATAGGTCAATGTTTGGGTTACACTACACTATATACTACCCTGTACTCTAACCCAGATTCACCAATACTGTGTGAATCAAAGAGAACCTAAAGAAAAGAACCTTGAACAAAACTTAATGCTGCACTAATCAATAGTTTTAGATTAACAATGGATGTGTAATGTTAAAGGGTTTGCCAGTACTCAGAAACCCACAGAACCACCAACTCTGCAGTCTGAGGGTTGTATGGTACGTGTTCACAGGAGCATTTTTGGACATGAGGGGTCGTGGGGCTTTCCAGCATTGGACGTTTGTAGTCATACTGACCAACAAAAGGCTCCACCCTCCAATAGTGGCTGAACCTTATTGGACAAACGCACCGCAGTGCTATCAGAATGCACTGCATGGCTGCTTACATAGAAAATTAATGGGAAGCTCAAAAATGACTGATCCTGTGGACACGTACAATTAGTGTATTCGTATAGCTAATTGTTTTGGTTTTATAGCGCTTGTTTTCAGCTAAAGCTTGTACTGTCCAGCTCCAAACAGCAGACAGATGAACGACTAAATATTTGACTTTCCTTAGATGTGTCATGGCGTTTGTATGATGCAGCAAAGAAAATGATCCAAATGCAGGCAACTGGGCTGACAGGAACAGTTCAGTTATTTATTAGTAAAAGAGGTAGAGAAGAAAAAGAAGAATCCATAGGAAGGGGGTAGGTAAAGTGTATAGGTAAGCAGGCAGAACCAAAGCGCTGGTTGGCCTGGACAATGGAGATCGGCTGTAGGTTGAGGCAGGGTGCTTCCAGGACAGGTGGACAGCTAGAATGCAGGACAGAAGGCTGGTGACAGCTGAATAGCACAGACGGCCTGATCTGGCAGGGCGTCGGCTGAGATGAAAGAGTGATGATCTGGCTGGAAGTTGGTGAACAGCAGCTGCAGAGTGCTGAGTAATGGAGGCTCTGTGGCTCTGGGCGGCTGAGAGTCCGAGTCACTGGGCACCTAAGAAAGCTGATGGCCTCAGGAGCCAAGGGGACCATGGGGATGATCTGGAGGCTAGCTGACAAGGATGCAGGCTGGAGGCTAGCAGGCTGGGAATCAGGTACGCTGTTAGCCGGCAGGGGCTGGTTTGATGGGAAAGAAGAAAGCTTTGGTCTTTGATTAGACAAACTTCCTTAACCACTCCTGACTGTCTGACTGCTCATGTTTCTTGCACTGCTGAACTTTGATATAACGTTTGATAATAATGTCATAATGTTCCCAGATCTCAGCAACAGACCTTTTTCACAGCAGTCATTTTGACATGAAACAGTAGGGTAAACACAGGTGTTACCAATGATACTGATTAAGGTTCCATTCAGGTCGAACAGAGTCAGGGTGCTGCTTTTGCGCATGTTTTCTCACTGGGAAGGTTCTGCTACAATAAATGGAACAAAGCCTTAATTAGTATCATTTGTAACACCTCTGTTTACCCTACTGTTTCATGTCAAAATGGCTTCTGTGAAAAAGGTCTTGGTTACAAGAATTGTATTACTACAGCTTTTCCATAATGTCTTTATTTAAGATAACAGTATTTTGACACACATACACACACGCACTCACAC